ATACATACATATATATATATATATATACATATATATATATATTTAAAAAATCAATCTACTAGCACCAGAAAAATTAATAAAAGGAAGAAGCATGATTACAACCTAAAGGCTGAATCCTTTGAGGTCAATGCATATAATGTTGCCAAAATGTTTCCAATTCGAGTTTAAAAAAAAGCATCATCTTAGTGTCAGTAGGGTTAAAATGTCACTAAAGTTTCTTTCCAGTTCCAGTAATTGATATATTCAGATGGACGAATCTGACTGGAACTAAAGAACAGACGATGGAGAGTTTTCAAACATGCTGCTCATCAATCTTTTATCAAGGCTACTTACTGACTGTGTTTCTTAGAGAAGAGCACGCTGATTTCTTAGCTCTGCCTCTTCAAGAATCTCTCAGGAAAGACCGTGATATTACACAGGACTATTTGCTGTAATTGAGTAGTCAGTAGGGATTTAAATGAATAAAGTCTGACCGGCTCTTTGTGAATATAAAAGAATACTCTACTGCAGGCGGGTCGAAACAGAACATTTGAAATGGACTGTGATTTATGAAATAGGTTCCCTGGCTTTCATTACCTGCAGCATTTCCTTAGTAAGGACAGAACTTGGCAAAAGGCATTCTCTTACATTTTGTGCTGTGGTATGTTCACACTTTTTTGAAGACAAAATAAGTTAAATGTCACACAATCACAGAAGGTTGCCTTAAGGATTAAAATATATATTTCCTCATCTGAAACTTCAAATATTTTCTCTTGTTTTTCAAGCTTTTATAAAACTTCTGCTGATGATTTCCTAAGCAGAGGGTCCAGGTAAAAACAAAGCTGCTCTTTATTACAACTCGTTCATTATTAACCCTCCTGCTGCCCTGGGGTCCAAATGACGCGAGGATTTAATTCCAAAACCTGCTGTGCTCCTGTAATTTGGAACACCGTGCAACCGAATTTAAAGTTGTCCACTTTGATAAACAATAATTTTATCTTGAAAAAAAATCTATGCAAATTTGTTATTTTAATATTGTAACATTTTATTTTGTACTTTGACTTTATTGACTCGATTTTATTACGTTGCACTGTTGTTGTATCTGTTTGATAAAACTGTTCTCGATTGAAAATGAGTCCTTGTGTCTCTTATGAGACTACCTGTATAAATAAAAGTTAAATAAAAATTGAAGCTGTGATTATTTTCTCCACATCTCTGAGCAAAATTGAACAGAAATCAATGCAGGGCTCTGCTGCCAAGGATACACTTCAAAGATCTTATGGGATAAAAGAGCCAAACTATTATTCACTTCAACAATGTACAGTAACTTCAGGAGGAAAATAAAAGCTTTGTTTTCCTGAGAATTTAATAAAAAGGGGCTCTGTGGTCTGGTTTACAAGGTCAGGGATAACATCTGAATACTGATGGCTATAAAAAAGCTGAAATTCTTGCATTGACAGAAAAATGTCCTTAAGAACCTTTTGCTTCTCCGTCTACCTTCACTAAGTCCCTGACTCAAAGAGAAAACTGCATACATCGGGAAACATGTATCTACACTTGTTTAAAGTCAAACTACACACACACACACACTTTAAGGCCCATCTCAACCCCCCCTCTCAGGGCCAAACAAGCACTATCATCCTTCAATGTCATCTCATCGATTGATCTGCTGCTTAAGCCCCTGCCGTGAGTCGGCATTGGTCACATACAAAGCCACACAGGGCAATTCATCACTAAGCCCCAAACACTTAGTTTGACAGTCAGGAGCTGGGGGAGGAGGGGGGAGGTTGATAGAGGGGAGAGGAGATGAAGCAAGGAGAAGTGAGAAAAGAGGAAGGGGAGAAGCGAAGAGTAACAGAAAAAGACTGAGTGATGTGAAAACAGCTAAAGATCCTTTTCAACCCAGCATGAATTTATCTTTGCAACATCTATAAACCTGAAATACGTTTTATTCTTCTTGTCAGCTTGGAGTCACACTGCTGCAAAGAGACACTTCAATGAAGGTGCATTTATACAACAGATGTAGTGTTTCAAACCTTCTGAGGCTGGAACTCGGGAAGCATGATGCAGGTGGCACCCACCCAGAGCGGGCACAGCAGCTTGTTAATGATGCCATGCACGTGGTGGAGCGGCAAGGTGTGGAGAATGACGTCATCTTTGGACCATGCCCATTCTGAGACCAAACACTGGATCTGAGGGGGAAGCAGGAGAGAGAAGAGGTCAGCAGGTTAAAATATCTTGGAACAAATCACTTCATTTTGCTTCTACTGTCAACAAATCGACAACATGAAACTCTTTGTTAAGATCATCGTGCTGGCACACGCTGACAGCAATGAGATGGTATAAACAAATTATAGATATATTCATCTCGTTCCTACATAAAAGTTCATTATTGGTTCCACTTTCTTACAAATACAGTGAGGAAAATAAGTATTTGAACAACCTGCGACTTTGCAAGTTCTCCCACTTAGAAATCATGGAGGGGTCTGAAATTTTCATCTTAGTCCACTGTGAGAGACATAATATAAAAAAAAATCTGGAAATCACAATGTATGATGTTTTTAATAATTTATTTGTGTGTTACTGCTGCAAATAAGTATTTGAACACCTGCTAATCAGCAACAATTCTGGCCCTCAAAGACCTGTTAGTTGTCCTCTAAAAAGTCCACCTCCACTCCACTGATTATTCTAAATTACAAGCACCTGTTTGAGGTCGGTAGCTGCATAAAGACACCTGTCCACCCCACACAATCAGTAAGACTCCAACTACTAACATGGCTAAGATCAAAGAGCTGTCCAAAGACACCAGAGACAAAATTGTAGACCTCCCCAAGGATGGAAAGGGCTACGGGGCAATTTCCAAGCAGCTTGGTGAGAAAAGATCAACTGTTGGAGCAATTATTAGAAAATGGAAGAAGCTAAACATGACTGTCCATCTCCCTCGGACTGGGGCTCCATGCAAGATCTCACCTCGTGGCGTATCAGTGATCCTAAGAAAGGTGAGGAATCAGCCCAGAACTACACGGGAGGAGCTGGTCCATGACCTGAAGAGAGCTGGCACCACTGTTTCCATGGTTACTGTGGGTAATACACTAAGACGTCATAGTTTAAAATCATGCATGGCACGGAAGGTTCCCCTGCTTAAATCAGCACACGTCCAGGCCCGTCTTAAGTTTGACCAGGACCATTTGGATGATCCAGAGGAGTCATGGGAGAAAGTTCTGTGGTCAGATGAGACCAAAATAGAACTTTATGGTCTCTAAAAAAGTTAAATCTGGTCCTCTGGAACTTTATGGTCTTAATTCCACTCGCTGTGTTTGGAGGACGAAGAATGATGAGTATCATCCCAAAAACACCATCCCTACTGTGAAGCATGGGGGTGGAAGCATCATGCTTTGGGGGTGGTTTTCTGCACATGGGACAGGACGACTGCACTGTATTAAGGAGAGGATGACCGGGGCCATGTGTTGAGAGATGTTGGGGAACAACCTCCTTCCCTCAGTCAGAGCATTGAAGATGGGTCGTGGCTGGGTCTTCCAACAAGACAATAACCCGAAGCACACAGCCAGGAGAACCAAGGAGTGGCTCCATAAGAAGCACATCAAGGTTCTGGAGTGGCCTAGCCAGTCTCCAGACCTAAACCCTACAGAAAATCTGTGGAGGGAGCTCAAACTCCGTGTTTCTCAGCGTCAGCCCAGAAACCTGGCTGATCTAGAGAAGATCTGTGGAGGAATGGACCAAAATCTCTGCTGCAGTGAACCTGGTGACAAACTACAGGAAACCTTTGACCTCTGTAATTACAAACAAAGACTACTGTACCAAATATTAACATTGATTTTCACAGGTGTTCAAATACTTATTTGCAGCAGTAACACACAAATAAATTATTTTAAAAAAATCATACATTGTGATTTCCAGATTTTTTTAAATTTAAGATTACGTCTCTCACAGTGGACATGCAGCTAAGATGAAAATTTCAGACCCCTCCATGGTTTCTAAGTGGGAGAACTTGCAAAGTCGCAGAGTGTTCATACTTATTTTCCTCACTGTATTTAATCGCCTGGACAATAAAATGTGGGCAATCATGTTTTTGTATCTCTCTGTGAGCGTTTGTTTATCAGTTAGCACAATGTGTCCTGAACCACCACATAATGGATTTAAATTAAGTTTGCAGAGTGTAATTACTGGATGCACATCTACAACTGGGTAACTTTTGGATTTAACTGGATTAAAGTTACCACAGCAAATCAATCTTAGAAAACACAGGAATTCCAACACATACTCTGATCACTGACAGACTAAATGCTCTTTATTTCCAACAAAATCAATAGTCTCGTAACTGAGTGATTTCACTCACCATGCTGTTGGACAATTAGGCCAATTTCACCTAAAAATCCTCGTTAATGAGAAGAATTCTCAGTATCAAACGTGTGTGGAAGAACAATCTGAATCGTTTATTTTTCCTAGAAAGAGTCATTGTTGTGACTGCTGCATTTTTTTTTATATACATTTCTGCACATTACCATAATATTTTGAATATGCATTGGTTCATTTGTTTTTATATATTGAGATATTTAAATTATTATACTGGCAAGTCAAAAATCTCAAATGTTTCAATAAAAACTGCCTAATAAATATGTTATGCAAACATTTTACACTGATAATAACATAGATACTGTTGTTAAGACTATAGCTGTAAATCAAAAATAAAATTAAAATGCTTTGGCTTCATTTAAAATAAAATATACTTTAAAACTGACCAGGATCATGCATGTAACCGCTGTAAACAAACTCAAGCTACGCTCTTACACATTCTGGACTTGTTCAAAGCTGCGGTGCTACTGTAATGGAAATCTATTTTTGATACTTTCTCTGGGATATGTGGAAAAACTGTGCACCCATCACCATTCATTCATTGTTTGGGGTGGTCCTTGTGGATGCATCCTTTTGCAGGTACGAGAGAAATATGAGTGCTTTTGTCTCTCTTCTAGCCTGGAGACTTATTTCATGCAGATGGAAGGATCCACATTCCCTGGCATATGAACACTGGATAAGAGAAGTTCTGAGTCATATTCATTTGGAAAAGATCAGATACACTGTAGGGGGATCTGAAGAAAATTTTTGGGACACTTTGCAGCCATTTGTATCTTATATTGAAAGTCTGTCAATGCCTGTTTAATGTATGCATGTCTGTGCAGCTGATCCGGTATGGGAGGGGTATTTGTTGTATGTGCTTTTGAGTGTTCTTAAATACAAAAAATAAAAAAAAAGACTTTGATTAAAATATACTTAAAAAAAATAATAATTTACCATGGCTTGGATGCTGCCGTGTGTATGAAGAACCCCTTTGGGGCATCCCGTCGTCCCACTGGTGTAGATGATCATAGCTGGCCGATCAACCCAGTCTGTAATGGTTATCTCCTTCTCACATGCGTCTGTCTCATCCAAATCATCCAGGTTAGAAGTTGGTGGCAGAGTCAGACATGGCAGACCATGTTTCTGTGCCAGTGGCTGCAGAATCTCTGCATACGGATGTGCCGCCACCAGCAGTGAACTCTGGGAGTCAGAGATGATGTACTCCAGTTCTGAGGGAGGGTGTTTTCGGTAGAGTGGCACTGCTGTCCCACCACTCATCCAAGTTGCCCATTGAGCCACTACATATGAAGAATCATTTGCACACAAGAAGGAGATCCGTTTTCCATCCAGGCCTCCAAAATCGGACTTTAGAGCAGAACTGATTCTACTGGCAAGCCCCAAGCTACTGCCGTACAGCTGCTTGTAGCTGTGTCTTCCACTGCTGTCTATGACAGCAAGCTTTTCACCAAATGCTGGAGCTTTGGTAAACACAGGCTTCTGGTTTATCCTTGAGGACGGTGCTAATGTCCATCTATGAGCGCTTCTATGAACTGTAGCTCCTAATAATTGCTGCCTTGAACATAAAGGGTGAAAAGTTCTGCAAACAATGGCTTTCCAGTGAGGAGAAGTCCACATAAGATGGTGCTTGGCAAAGGCAAACTGTTCAGACAGCATGATTGAGACTTAGCAGTTCATTACCCTCAAGATGGCATCATTCACCATTTTATCTCCCCAGTCAACTGATGATAAAATGTATCTGTGAAGTGAGAGAAAGAATGAAAAAGAGTGAAATCAGCAAATGGCCAAAACCCAATAGGCTTCCTGATTTTTCTCTACACAGGTTAATTCAATTTTCTGTTAGCTACACTGATGCAAGAAGCAGAATCAAGAAAATGTTCTTGACGGCTAATGTTTAGGCTGATAGTCCTCCTTTATCATGTGAACAGCTAGTTCTGGATGTCAACAACAAACTAGTTGATCCACTATGAGAAGGTGCTATTTATAAGACACTGAGTTTATTACAGCTCCTCGAGCTGAAGAAGTCTTTTAGATAAAAGACGAAATGTTTCAACAAGTTTTACATTTTTTATTGTTTATGTTTTTGAATCCGTCCAGAGGACCTGACTTAACTAATTTTATTAGATTTTTCTACCTGGATTATTGAGCATGCATCAGGATATAAGAAAATGTTCTGTTTGACATAATCAAACATTTGTATTTCAACATACAGCTCCTCCACTAGTAAGTACACATTTTCAGGGCTGTGGGACACAGACATGATTTAGTCTTGTGTGTGGTCTAAACAACCTACAGGGAAGAACATTTAGAACTATTTGATAAAGAGCCCTGCAGCTTAATTTACAAGACTGCATTAAAACGACAGTTATTTGGACAAATTTTGAACAAAATTATCCACAGCCACATAAAGACAAACTGGGATTTAACAGCTAATCAGTTTTTTAAATCATCCCTGCTTAAACAACACATCTGACGAAAATCTATTTTAGTAAAATGTGTTTTACTGCAACTTTGTCATAGTATTTTTTAACCCTGCCGCAAAAATAATGTTTCGAGGTCTTTAATTTATGCACAGTCGCATATTATGTGTAATTTATACAGCTAAAGCAGCATTATTTTTTCGTGTTCACTCAAATCAGACGATATAAAAAGCTGATGATAATCAAAACAACATTAGCTACTCTTGTTTCTTGTCAACAAAGCTGCTAAAGTGAATTCATGCTAACCTTTATTTAACCAGGTTTGTCCCATTGAGATCAAAAGATCTCATACAGAGAGGTGAAAAAAACACAGTCACAATAAACATAATTAAATAACAAACGACTCAATTAAAACAATTACACTTCTGCAACTTGAGTAAAAAAAGATCTATCATGGTATTAAATACATTCAGATACTAGTGAATTGACACAAGCTTTTTTTTTTTAACTTTGTTTCGCTGATTAAACATTAACGAGCGAATGTCCTTACGAAACAAAATATTGTATAAATATTCCCCAATTATTAATTTGTTAATCTGTATTTACATATTAAAAAAAAACACAAAAACTATACAAAACGTAACGTTTTTATTTCACCTTACCCTGCCTGTTAAGGAGAAGAACGGTGTAGCGACATTAATCTACCGGTTAGAAACAAGAGCAGCGGAATAAAGAGTTCCTAGCCGGTAAGCTGATGCTGTGCATTTGGTTTCCACAGTAACGTAGGTAAAAAAAATTAATTGAACAATGGTCTAGCATTCCTTTAGGAAATGCATATCTCCCGCCAGCTTTAAACTAAGGTTTTAAACTAAGATCATCTTGAGAAACGACAACGTTTAACTTGTGTTTCTTTCTGTCAAACCGAGAAAATATAGCAAGATGTGCGAACTCGAGCACGTTTTGAATGACTCCGTTTTTTCTGAATCAAATTTTACACCAGTCTTTAAAATTTGCTGATTTATAGCCATACATGGATGGATGGATGGGTTATTATTGATTAGCTGTGGCGGTCATCCTGAATCGAATTCGCTAAGTGTATCAAATGTACAGCCAACAAAACCTTTCTGATTTTTTATTTTTTTTAACTACTCAGTGGTTCATGGAATATTTTGCTTACAGACAGACATGGTTGACTCTAACAGTTAATGCCAAAGTTTTAGAAAAACATCTTGCACAACGAGCAGATCTCGAAATATGTGTTGGGCATGATGAATCTCAAATAAACAAAATTTAAGTTAATTTAAGTAAAACTGACTTATACCCATTTTGGTCTTTTCTAAGGTCAGTTGGTTTTGTTGGCTCCAAAAGATAATCTGCTGGAGATGCACAAAGGATTACTTTCTGAATGTTTAATTGAAATGTATCCAGTGATTGATAACAGACAAACATGATGCTGCTGTGCGTATGTGTTGGGGGTCAGTCTATCACATTAAATGTAAGCTCAGTATTTGTAAAAATGGTAAACAGATACTCAGACACACTCACATGTGCACACAGACACCAGCAAGAACTTTACTGCTCACCTTTTGTCTTTCTGTGGAAACATTGGTGCATACAAACATATGATGAGATCATGACGGGTTTTTTTTTGTTTGCTTTTTTTTGGTCATAATTGATAAGATTTTTATTAGATTAATTCATTTATCGATACAGGTTAATCCCATTGAGCCTCGGGGACTCATTTACAAGAGAGATCTGATTTTAACAAAGAGTGACGACAACATAGACAATCATAAAAAGCATACCAAAAATGTCTCCATTTTGGCTTTTTCTCCAAATCTTAGGTCGATAAATGACTCTCTACTCTACGGAGTTGTCCTTCTTACGTCATAGGTAATTGGTGCATTCGTGATCAGAGAGCCTTATTGGTACAAAGATGCAGATGAACGGTTTGAATATTAATTCAAATTGCAGCCGCACCCAGTAGCGACTTCTGATTTTAAAAGTAGCGTAGTAGATTACATGGGCTAAATTGTAAAGTATGAGTAAATTACACACTTGAAAGAAATACTCATAAAAGTACAAGTACTCAAAAAAATCTACTTAATTATAGTAATGTGAATATTTGTAATTTGTTGCTTCCACCCCTGCAAAACACATTAGGGAAAATAAAAAATCATTATAATTTCTATCCCCCATAGCTTTTATTACAGGCCCATGGTTGTTCGATCAGATTTCATTATTTAAAAAGCCTCTAAAATGACTTCTGTTTTCAGTTATCTTGTAGCTGCTGGCTCAAATCTCTTGAAGAATCACTCTGCTCAGAGGAGACGAGGATGGGAGTGAGAAGAGGCAGATCAGCATCCTGTTTGTGCAGCCGCCACACACAGCCATGCTTTGGCTTTAGATCAGATGCCAGTCTTCTCACTCATTGTGCCAACTAGCTTGGCCAGCTCCGTCATCGCAGTGAGCGTGGGCACATTCAGCCGCCAGCTGGCAGTCGCGGACCTTAAATAAGTAAATGGTACAGACATGGCACACGTTCAAAAAGTTTTCACTTCCCTCCCCAAACCCCCTACACTGCAGAGGACGATGGCATGTTCCTAACGAAAATAAAACCTTTGTTTGGGAGAACTCCCCTCCACTCACAGGAATAGTATCGTCAAAGACCACTCGCTCTCTTTTGAATGGGAAAAGATTCTATGGCTTTCTTTCTACTCATATAATTTTAAGAAAATCCTTCATCTGAGCAGAATTTTTACAATCTCTGGCCTTTTGTTCGTTGCAGCTGGCATCGCCACGGATGTCATTTCAGATAAAACAAAACAAACCAAAAAAAAAAAAAATGCTCAGACGACTCCTGTTTTTGGATTCGTTTCCTGGAACATGGCCATGTTTTTCGACATTTATTACGTTGGGATCGTAATCGGAGCAAACGGGGGAATATTTACTGCTACTAGAATTAAGCGGGGATGGATAAAACCTGCAGGAGAAAAGGGGAGAACGAAAGACATGGATAACGCTCAAAAGAACTATCGATTACAATTAAAGTATAAACAAGCACTGAGAGAGGCGGTAAGCAGAAGCTGACCTTCTGCTGTGATGACCCGCTGCCAGCGCATCATTCAGAGAAGACCACCTGAAACGGTTTCGCCACTGATGGGCAGGACGGCCGCAAGCTGGCGCCAACTCCCATCTTGGCACTGGGTTTCATGTGAGGGAAAAAGAGAAAACAGCGGACCCCCCACAGATCTGTGAGAGAGGCTGAGAGGGTAATACAAACCGTGGGGAGTTCCCAAGCATGTGTCAGGTTGGCATCAATGTGAGAATGTCTTGGCAAGCTCTCCGCTGTCTCCCCTCCCACCTCAGCTCACACACAAACACTCTGTTGCCCTGCTTGGAACACATGGTACATCAGCAGCGGCATCTGGCCACGCTGACTCCTGGCAGCTGCGCTTCGTCTTCGCCAGTTGGGAGTCTTGGCACTGCCACTTCATCAACTACCTGTGGCTCCTCCTGGGTAAAAAAGCGGGCGATGAATTATTCCGATCTTGCAGCTGCAAACTTGACTTTCGTCCAAGAGTTTCGCTGTAAACATCTGAGCGCTTCACAGAACACATGCCACACACATGCCACGGCACGGCTGGCAACATGGCTTGTGTTTTGCACAATGTGACGGGATGTCCTCGTGTGATGGCATGGCTCATTTGATGGGAAAGATGTGCTCTGTGTTGACACTTCACGCATTTGAAGCAAGCCGGAGAGGAATTATCTGTGGACAAGTAGAAGTTTGTTGCAACAAACAGGGGGCTTTATGTCTAATTGGAGGTTTTACTATGAGAAAAACAAATATAGAAATGAAAATGAATCTTGATACTCTTTCTGACTGCATCAAGTTTTCATGGATCCAAGGATTACACAGAAAGAAGTACATACAGTTAAATACACACGGTTTTATTGCAACCTGTTGTTTTAACCAAAATTACATATTCGATATTTGAAATAATGAGTAAAACATAATGGATGTTTTGACAATTGAGACCTTTTCCTGAAGCATTTTGAATGTATTTTATCAGAGCACCTCAGTATGTCTACATGAACTTAGAAATTGACATTTTTGCAAGGAATGCTCACAAATCCAATGAACGTTAACTGATTTCAACTTTGAGTCTTGTGTTTTGTTCAGTCTTGAATATCTCCTGATGATTTTAGATTGCATTATTCTGAGCACTCTAGTTTTTAAAAATTCATTTTAA